GGCTATGGGAATTCGGGTTGGAATTCGTGGAATTCCAACCCGAATTCCCATAGCCATGGCTGGAGAAACTGGCATGGTTGGAAAGGTTCGACAGGACCTGGAAAGGATAAGACTTCCTGGTGATGCCAAACCTGAAGCAGCCCCGCATAATTTAAAAGGGCCTCATTTCAGCACTGCATTTTGCATGGATGCTCGAATCGCGGCGCAGACATCGCTCAGCTGCTGAGACTGAAAAGATGTATACCCCGAGTTATAACCTTCTTTGCACGAGGCCCCTCGAATGAAGATCGCCGACCCCAATCAGAGAATTGAGAATCCGTACCCCAAAAAAAGCCGAACAAAAGCCCCCCCAAAAGAAACCCTTCTTCTGCCAGTTTTGCTATCAAGGCCCCCGCCCTTTTGTTAGGTCCTTGTATTTGCCCCAGCCGAAGTCTTCAAATCAGAGGCCAACCGGGCCGAAGGAGCTTTGTCCTTCCTCGTCAGCGGCATCTACAAAGGATCCGCCTCTTGGCTGCAGCTAAGGTCTTAGGGTTTAGTGTTTAGGAGCTTCGGGGAGTTTGGAGTTTGATTTTTTTTGGGGGCAGCTTGGGGGTTGGGTTGAATTTTTGGCGCTCAGCATCTTTGGATTAGAGTTGGCCTCAGAAACGCCAAAAGCCTCCAGACAACCTTGCACGCCTGGAGGCCTAGAGCCATGGATATCAGCACTACCCCAGATCATCAAGCATTCAATACTGTTTTTTGCTGCGGATTAGTCAGTATCACGATGCAACTTCCTGGTGGTTATACCCACTCATCCTTCAAGGTATCAAACTGCTGTCGTAATAGTCCCTAAAACCCTAAACCCTCTAAAACCCCCCGACAAAAAAAAAAACAAAAGAAACTCAAAATCCCAGCTCCCTGCACTCTCGCTGCCTCTTCGGCGCGAGGTGAGCGCCGAGAGCCTCAGCGCCGCCTTCCTGGGCAAGGCCTTGGTTCTCCTCCTCTGGGAGTCAGCGAGGCTGGGCCTTGGGTTTGGGAGCTTTGGGGGTTTATAGTTTATACGATAATTAACCTAGAGTATACTTTTTCACATGCCTGCACTTTATACTCCAATGTAATCACGCTATTATCTTTGCTTCGGGAGATCTTTAAGGCTTTTCATCTTTTCAGGAGTTGGGTGGGTCGGCGCAGGGTGGGGTTTTCGGGGCCCCGGGCCAGGAAGTGACAATCGCTTTCAGCGCCATAGCGTTTTGGCAACAAAGGCCCCCCGGTGGGCGCCGTAGGTTGGCTCTGGGTTCGTTTCGCTTTGTCTAAAGCTTAAACGTGTCCAGACTTCCATGAAAAGAGATACGGTAACCGGAAGGCTGATTCAAAGAAATTAAAATCACGACTTAGATTGTCCAAAAGATTTGTGGGGGGTTTTGAATTAGAGTTCATTTAAGGCTATGAATCTAACTCTGGATCTGACTCCTCAGGGCAGGTTTGGGTTTCTCGAGCTGTGCTGATTTAGGGCCTATAGGGTTTAGGGTTTAGGGGTTTAGGGTTTAGGGTATCTTGTCCAGCTCTGTGCTTGCACAGCTTGCCACTCCTGAAAGCCTCACGCTGCAAGACGTCCCAAGCGGTGCAGATCCCGGCGTTTGTATCTTCTCGCAAGGCTGAGTGACCAGCGACAGGAACGCCTTCGCCGTACTTTGGCCGTGCTGACAAACATCTCGCAGGATCCACTTTTTTGCTTCACGGTTGAGCTTCTAGTTGTGTGTTGGCCTGCTCTACGCTGTTCTGCTCACCTCGTGTCCTGCCTTGCTAGAGTCGCATCTGTGTTGCCAGCACGCGCATCGTTTGTTCTCGTCGTTTCTGTAAACGTTCCACCTGTTCTGCTCATGGTTCAACATTCGCTGTGCTTTTTCTGCATTTGTGCTTGTTGAGCACGCTCTGTGCTCGTGTTATGCTCTTCTTCCCGCTCTGTTCTTCTTCAAACCGACTACTCTGCGCAGCTGGCTTGTGATCTATTCTAGTCAGACTGACATGTTCATTGCATAGATCTAGCGTAGTGATTTTATCAGGGTCTCCTCCTCGAACTTACTCGGCAAACCATCAGTTCGATTGGTGGCAACATGTTTCAGTGAGACACGGCAGTTTCAGCAATGCCCGCCCCCTTGTTTGTGCGACTTTTTCTTCGTATTGGTTCAGAGCGATTGGTCCACAGCTTGATGGTGCTCTGGTGATGTGTTAGGGCACAAGCCTAAAAGCCCTCCAACCACAACAGGCCTCAGCCCTCCACACCCAAAAGCCCCAATGGCCCCTAAGCTCCTCAAGGTGCGTGCTTGTTGATCTAAGCTGCGACGCAGTGCAGTGGACACTGAAGCCTCAAGCCCTGTCGAGGGGCCGAGGCCCTCCTCTTCCTAAACCGTCACCCGCCCTCAGACCTAAGCCCTATATTTCTGATCAGTGAGCCTGATCTCTTACCCCCTGAACCCTAAACCCTAAACCGTGAAGCAAAAACCCTCTCTTCCGGTGCAGGCTCTGCAGGCTTTGCAGGCCCGGCTGGCCCCTGGAAGCGCGCTGCAGGCGCAGCAAGGGACTTGGGGGTTCCAGGGTCTCTGGAACTTTGGGGCTTAGGAGTTGGACTAAACCCTAGACCCTAAACCCTAAACTGGAGTTATTGTTGCATGGTTTCTCCTCATGTAAGGGTTTCGGGATGAATGGTTTTGGGGTTCAGGGACCATGCATGCTTGAGGATTCTGCAGCACTTAAGAGGTGTCTCGAAGTGCTAATGGGCCAGTAGGGCTGTAACGAGAGCTGAAGCAGAGCCACGTCGAACTACGGATTTGCCATGGCTGCGTCCTAGAAGAAGAGGGGAGCCTCATTCCAGAGCACGGCCTTCTTGTCTTGGGGTGGAGGCTCCTGGGTCTCTCTCTCTCTCTCTCTCTCTCTCTCTCTCTCTCTCTGAACAGCGTTGTAACAGAACCCTGCCATATTCCCTAAGGGGTAAAGACCCTTGAAGCACACTTAAAAGTCTTCGGCATTCGTCTGTGGAGGACCGGAAGCGCCCCGAGCCTTCGCTGGAGCGGAGTGCCAAAAAGCGGAAAGCAGGGGAGAAGGACGGCTATTGCTTGGGTGTTTATCAAGAGGTCCAGGGTTTGCCCTAGCGTGAGGAAAACCGGTGCCTGTAAGGGTGCACCAGTAGATCCTGAAACCCCTGGAAGCTCTAAAGACTTAGAACTCCCCAAGAGCATCTGCGAAGGAGACGAAGGTGATCGACATAGCCGGAGATGGAGGCAGGGTGCTTTATCTTGGGACGTCGAGGCTGCGGTCTACTAATTTCGAAGGATAAGGGGTCTCATGACATGTCAAACCTGATATATACGGCGGGTTCAGACTTTGGTTTCGAGGTCGACCGGCAGCTGTCGTTGCACCATCTCTGCCGTGTCCGAAGATGTTCGGAGGCTCTGGCCCTGTGCGAGGGACCCCTCCAGAAGTACTGGAAATCCTGGATGCTCAGCTACGGAGGTCCTGTGGGTCCTCAGTGACTCAGGGTCTCACGGTTTGATGCTTCAGGACCGTTCAGGGTTTAGGGCCTAAAGTTTAGGGCTTTAGGGTTGAGTAGGATTCAAGCCACGCCGGCTACCCCGGCTACCACACGGCCGAATCAGTTGTCAAGACAATCCTAGCACTGCTGACAGATGTAACCAAACGTGGGAGATGACATTGCCACTTTTCGGGGCCCCTGCTGCTCTTGCTTGTGAGGCTGTTTGTGGGCGGATTTGACTGGTCTGCTGGCCTTGTGCTTGCTATGAGGACGCTGCTCTAAGTTCTGCGTAATCTTTGTAACTGCCGCTGTTGAGGACGACTAACTAGTTCATGTGTCTGCCATTCGTTCTAAACTCTGAACAGTTCTGCCTCCGCAATCTCTGCACACGAATCCTTCTCCCCTTAAGGCCCCCAATCCCCAAATCCCAAGCTCGTCTTCCTGAGCTCAGGAGCGTCACTTCCTGCATGTCCTGGACATCCTGGGCATCCTGCTCGACCCGCGCTCCCCCAAATGGCAGGCCGAGACTCTCCAAGAGCCCTAGCAAACCGCGTGAGCCGCGCCGTACACCGGTCAGAAATCCTTCAGCTGCTTTAGTTTTGGGGTGTTCCCGTTCTCTGGCCTGCTGATTGGGTTTAGGGTTTAGGCTTTAGGGTTTATGGTTTTGCCGAGGTTTGGGCTTTAGTTTGGGGTGTGCCCCTGGGGCCCCAGTTTTGGAAGCTGCCGGCAAAGAGACCGCAGGAAAAGCTTTCTGGTTTTATTGGGGCCTTTTTCCGGGCGAGGCTAGTGACGAATGTAATATAGGGGCCTTAACAATTAGAATTAGGGTTTTGGGGGTTCCTCATTATGATTATAGTATAATAGGCCCCCCAAGCCCAATTCGAATTAAGGCCCCTACATTAGATCGTCTTCTATGGTCATGTGACCAGAGCCTGACTTGAACCTCCTATCTGGAGTGTCTGGGTGTCTAATGGTTTAGGGGTGTTGGGGAAATTGGGGTCTAAGTTTATAGGAGTTGGGGATGTCATGGCACGATGAGAGAAGAGATGATCAAGACTGCTACCCTTGTGGGGGTTAATTAGGGTTTAGGGCTCAAGGTTGCTTTTGTATTTGGGGAAGTTCCTTTTCCTGCTGCGCTTGTTGCAGCCAGACGTGTTCTCTGGGAGGAGTACTGCGACCTACTGTCGGACCCCTTTGCACGCGTCCGTGGAGACGTTCAAGAGGCGGGGAAGAGCATACCCCGGGGCCGTTTTCTCTTGCTGCCAATCCGCTTCCATCAGACCTAAAGCCCAAACTCTAAACCCCAAAGCCAAAACCCCAAACCCTAAACTCCCTGAACCCTAAACCTTAAACCGCCCAAACCGTTTATTCTGAACCCTAAGTAGACCTGTAGTCCCACAGAGAGACCCTTGAAGAGTCCAGGAAGCGACCAGCCCGGACATGGCGCGATTCTGCCGAATGGTCTCGCTGCTCTTGGCGCCCTGGCTTTTCTAGGAGGGTTCGGGGTTTAGGGGTTTAGGGGTTTAGGGTTTAGGGTTTAAGGGTTTAGGGTTTAGGGTTTAGGGGTTTAGGGGTTTAGGGCTTAGGGTTTCAGCATCGAGGGTAGTGCTCCTAACAGCTCCATCTAAAGCTCTTCGTCGATGAGTGTCCAGGTTATCCTTTCTGTTCTTGCCCTGAGCCGAGGCTGACGAGACTACGGTTCTTACAACTTCTATGATTATTATTGTCGTTACTGCTTTGTTGTTTCCCCGCCCATGTTTCCTATATCGCTGTACTGTTCTTTTTCAGGTTTAGTTTCCCCGCCACCCCTAAAATCCCTTTGGACTCTAAACCCCAAACCCTGAACCCCAAACCCGAAACACTAAACTTCTAAACCCCTAAACCGCTAAAAACCCAAACCCCAAACCTCTAAGAACCACCCAAAACCTCTAAAAGCTAGCAATGACCATTTCCATTTTCTAACCATGCACCCCCCCTAGCACCCCAAACCATAACAACTTATACCTCAACCCTAACCTCACCAAAACAACCATAGGAATACCCCTAGGATGGAACCACCATAAGACCCACACCAAGACCCACATAGAAAAATCCCACCCTAAACCCCATACACCAATACCTCCAT